CTCGAGGTGGGAGCTCCAAGCGAAGGCTTTCCCACACACACCACACTCGTAGGGTTTCCCACCCAGGTGGCTCTTCTGGTGCCGGTCGAGGGCTCCTGGATCGGCAAAACTGCGGCCGCACTGGGGACAGCGGTTGGGTTTCTCCCCGCCGGGTGCGTGGGGACGCGATGGGGGAGCAAGGAGGAGCTGACGCTGAAGCGGCGGCCGCAGTCAGGGCAGGCGTAGGGTCGCTCACCTGTGTGGACCCGTTGGTGGATGGTGAGGTCAGAGCGTTGGATGAAACACTTGCCGCAGTCAGGGCACTCATGCGGGCGGTCGCCGGTGTGGATCTTCTGGTGTTTCACCAGGGCTGACTTGTGGCTGAAGCTCTTCCCGCACTCGCCACACGTGTTGCTGGGTTGGCTCTCGCCTGGGCGTGTGGTCGTTTCCCCTGGTCCCCCACTCCTGCCCACCTTCACTCCGGCATCGGTGGGGCTAGATGGATGCTTCTCGCCCGCAGGTTTCACCACTTTGGGCTCTTTCTCAGCAGCTTCTTCTCGAGGGGGTTCCTGCTCCACTCCTGCTCCATCCTCTGTGGGGCACAAAGACAGACAGATATAACCCGAGCAGGAGACATTGTCTCTCCCAGGGCTGGGAAGATGGGAAGGTGGTAGGAAAAGGAAAGCATGAAGGGATTCCTCTTCCCTTTTTATTTCATGTGCTCTTCCAGGTAAGCACCTCTAGCAGAGGCATCTCCGATCCCCATCACTCCTCTCTGCCACCAAGACGGACAGGGTAATTAATCCACCACCACCTCCACTGCACCTCTGTGGACCACTCCAGAGACGTGGCTGTCTAGGAAGGGTGTCCGGCATTTCCATTTTGGGCAGGACATCCCTCTGGCATTACAGTTTCTCCTCTCTGGTAACTTTCTTCTATGCCATGGCCAAACCAGAGCTTGCAGCCTTGGGTACAGCGGCAGCCGTTACGGTGGGGTTCTGCCCATTTTGGGAAGAGGTCGGCACAAGGAGGGAAGCCCTCCACACTTGCAGAAGTCGAACCCAGGCTCTTTCCCGTGCCGTGGTCGAGGCACGATCGGAGGCTCACCTGCGGCCGGAGTTTCCCTGGGCACGTGGAGATCCAGGGCTGTAGGTTCATCCCCGTGGTCCAGGTGGGACAGCAGATCGGGTTTGGAAACGGGGAATTCTGGAAAAGAGAGGAAGGATGAGCAACATGGGTCAGGAGGATCTGCCCTCTCCAGCAGCCCCCCAACCCCAGCACCCCTTGTGTGAAGATGTGAGGATCCAGCAAGCCGGATCCTCCGTCCACCCCTAATTTTCTGCTATGGGAAGGGTAGGCTCCTCACCCAGCGCCATCAGCGTCTCGTAACTCTCCTGCATCACATCACGATACAGCGCTCTCTGTCGTGGGTCCAGCAGCACGTACGGCTCCATGGCTGGTGCCTCCAGACCCCCTGAAAGAAGAAGGTAGCCCCTCATAAGCAGAGCCTGGTGTCCCCCCTGAGAGAAGGAGGTAAGCCCCCATAAGCACAGCCCAGCATGCAACCCATGGTCAGCCATCATCCTTCGGATTTGCATCCCTTGGTTGGACTCTTCATGCAAAACCCTCTATTTTATCAATCTGTGGATTCTCTAATAATCTAATAGATTATTATTCTCTAATAAGCTAATAGAAAAGCTAAAATGAATCACCACAAAATGGGGGTAAGGCATGGGGGCAGGTAACTAATAAAAACCTCCATCCCCGTATTTTTCCCCAACTCCTGCAGGAACTTTATACTCTCTGCCTCTGTCAAATCTGGCCAAACAATTATTTTTTTTTTCCAAAAAAGTTAATGGAAAGCAGGAAGCAGAAGGGGAAAACAGAAACACAGACAGTACCACTCCTTAAAAAAAATTTTAAAAGAGATAAAATCCAGCCCATGAAGAACATGTTTCTGTAATCTGCAGACAACACTCTGCTGAGAGATCCTTATCCTAAAATTAATTTTCACCCAGATTTTATCTAAGAGCTAATTCCTACTGCACCAAACCCTGGGTACTTCTCCACAGGACCCTGCACCTTCCCAGAGACTCTTGTCTCAAATTTTCCAGAACTCCCCCCCAAAAACCCCATAGCAATCGTTCCTCCTCAAAGAGGATAAATCACCCAGTTATTTCTCTCTGCAAATCTCCAGTGCTCAGAGACTGTACCCGGGGGAAAACAGTTTTCCCAGCTGTAGGAAGAGGGTTTGGTGCTCTCTTTTGCAAAAGTCATTTAAAAGCAAATTACCACCACTTCCCCAACCCTTTCCTCATCCTCCTCTGTGAGCAGCGGGTGAATTAGGATCCCAATGCGTGGGTTGATTTATTTTTTTTCTAGCAGCAGAGCTGTTAGAGCCACAGAGGACAGAAGACGTAGGTTGGGAAAAGGTGGATTTGCGGAAGGTTGTCACTGACTTACTGATGTCAGGAATAAAAAGGCGATTTCAAGCACGGATCATAGATCTCTCCTGCAATTTTTGCTCCCTTTTTTTTTTTCTTTTTTTTTTTTTTTAAAGCCCCCACCAGCATCTCAGCCAGCTTCATTTATTCCCTGGTAGTTTGCCATTGTGCTAAAAAAATAAAAATAAAGGGGTCAGTACCGCACGCCCTCGCAGACATCTCCGCTCCCAGCCCCCCAGCAGCCCATCCAAAAATGAAACCCGAATGAAGTGAGGGGGTAAGGATGGATGCCTGCAGAAAGACAACGGGGATGGGGTTTTGGGGTTTTTTTTCCCCCTCCCCAGGACTAGAGAGCATCCGGGCATTGAGTTTAAGCCTGGTGTGTGCGCAGGCACCCTGGGGAGAAAAGCCGGAGGGGACGAGAGGAGAGAGGAAGGGAAGGATGGAGGGAGAAAGGAAGGGGATGAAAAAATAAAAGGAGCCATTTTCCACTCCCTTTCCACATCCAAAGACCAAACCTCCCCGTTACCTGCAGTCTCCGGCTCAGGAGGTGCTGTCGGCAAAGACCGGAGATGCCTCCCCCCACACTTTTTCCCCCCAGAAAGCCCCTTTTTCCCCCCCAAAAAAATGGGGCAGAGGGACAGGGACAGTGAGGGGCTCTGTGTGTGTGGGTGGGTGTCCCAGGGATGTGAGGGCCACGGGGAGTGGGTAGGCACGGCGCGGCGGCACAGTAAAAGTCATAGACTGTCCCAAATCACTTGTGTTTTGGAGTTTATGAAAAAAAAAAAAAAAAAAAAAAAAAGGGAGGGAAGGAGGAAGGAATTAAAAAAAAAGAAAAAAGGGGGGGGGAAGAGAGGGGAGAAAAGAGCTCTGCACAATTGCCAGGGCCCTCTGGCGGCAATAGCGACGGTGTCTCGGGGCGGAAATTAAAAAAAAAAAATCAAATCCACCTTGCAAAGTGAAAACTAAATGCTCATCTGTGTTCTAGTGAGGTGTTTTTTTCCTCAAATGTGGAAAAAAGGATGGTTTTCGCCTGCCTCTCTGTGGGGATGTGGACGTGCCCCCGGGAGACATTTTCCTCACAGAGGGCTGTGGCGGGGGGGCTCCTCGGTGGAGCTCCTTGCTGCCGGCTGGAAGCGCGACCTCATAAATTTATTGGTGATAAACCCATTAGGGACCACTTTGGGGCCAAACCCCCTAAATTTGGAGCCAGGGGAAGGTACTGGGGGATGCTTTAGCAAGTGTGGGCTGAGGGGATTGCGCTGCCGGTCTGCAGAAATCGTGCCATTGCTGCAGCCATCTTGATTCTTTACAGTGGGGCAATGGACTGATTTTGGGGGTAAAAGGGGAGTTTTCTGTCAACAAGCGTGGCTGCCTGCATGTCGGGGATGTCAGGCCAGCAAGGACTGTGGCTCAAACGTGTTTAAGAGCCCCATGGGGGGTGTGGGGCTCACAGATCTTCAAAAATGGCTCTGTCACCCCTGGGCCACAGCAGCCCTTTTGGGGGGCGTTGCCCCCTGACAGGGCCTGTCACCATGGCAATGCCGGCTGGCTGCCCTCACCCAAGATGGACCCCACGGCTTCACCCCCCCAGGGGCCAACTTCAGCAGGGCCCTCCTGGCGACAAGGGGAAGGCCACAGTCATCTCATCCTGCTTGCCCTGACCGCCCCACACCAAGGAGGAGGCTGCAGCCATCTTCCCTCTCACACTGCCTGAGGGTGAGGCCGCCATTTTGGAAGATGGCAGGGGCCGCCATTTTGGAAGTGGGCACCTCCCTTCTGAGGTGATCCCGACCGGCAGGCCCTGAACTAGCAGTTTTTCACCCCAATTTCTGCTCTCCTCAACCCAATAGTAACATCTCCCACAAACATTTCCTCCCCAAAGCAAATTTCACCATAGACAGTGAGGAAAATTTAAAGAAAAGCAGAGAAATTGTGGCACTGTATCCTTTATCTGCCTCACACTTCTCCCACAGCAAGAGGAACCCTCCCGGCAGGGACCATAAATCTGGGGAATATCTACTGTGTGGGTGCAAGGAGGTTTTGGGTTATTTTTCCCTGAATTCAGGTTCCTCGAGCTGATCTTTGACACTCTTGGTGACATGGTGGAGAGGCTGATGCAGGGGAAAGGCCGATGCTGTGAAAACCACAACAAAAAAATCCTCTCTCCCACCTTCACGCCAGAAACCCCCAGTTCAGTGACCACAGCCCCTGAAAACGGATTTCTGAAGGAAAAAAAGGCCCACAGGAAGGTCGTCCAACTTTTTTTTTTTACAATATTTAATCCTTTATGCTGGAAAACTTCGCTGCTGGGTGACAGGTGAGTGAGCCTTGGGGCAAAAATGTGCCCCTTTCCACAAAAAGCACTAATTTTGAGGCAAAATGGGCTGCCTTGAGGGTCGGCTGTGACTCAGGCCAGCTCCAAACCTGCCTGGCATCTCCTTTTGTTCACAAAAAAATTATTTTTAAAATGATAAAAAGCAAAGCCAGGCAAACCACCCACTGGCTGATAGCACCATTAAGGCTTAATTATGATTGTGAAGGTGCTATTTAAACTAATTAAACACTGCAGGTGCTGTTGGGATGGGTTTTTAGCTGCCTCAACCCAAACCCCGGCACCTCGCTGGCGTTGGGGTGAATTAACCCGATTTAGGGACACCCCCAAAAACATCCCTTCGCTCTGGCCTGGTGGTGAAAACCAAGGGGAAAAAGCAAGAAAAACGTGAGGATGTTTCATCGGGGCTGTTAGAAGAAGAATTGAGAAAAATTAAAATAGGAGATGGCTCATATTCAGCCTAATGAAGCCACTTTGTTGTCAAAACTTGAGACATTAAGATGATCGTTTTAAGTGATTAATACATGATTTAATAACATCTTTTTAACAGAGGCAGGATGAGGAGATGTGGATAAATTAACGTGCATTTAAAGTTTATTTTCAGGGAAGTCTTGCGACTATGGAGCTCTGTGGACGTAGGGATGCTCCATGGGGCTGGTACCCCAATACGAGGGGGATCTCAAGGTAAGGGGGGAGTCCCTGGCCCTGATGCTCCCCCGCTCTTTTACAAGGCAGGAGGGGGAACCCAGCATCCACCATACCCG